GCAACCGCGCTGGATACTGTGACAGTCTCCTGGATTGGATTGGATTGGATTTTTCTCATTATCTTGTAAGTGTTCTCATCAGAGGGATGTTAGGGCTCAGACTGCCAGCTTAGGCCTGCCAACTGTTGCTGAGGTTCCAGACACTGGGGTAATAACAGACTTATCGTCTCCTATCCTTTATGCTGCGGCACTTTAAATACCGACTTCCATTTCACCCCAGTCCTGCATGTCCTGGCTCTCCTTGGGTTAAATTTGTCCTCTGGATGGGGGAACAAAAGGGCTTTGGCCACAGAAAATGCAGAGCCTGGATTTTGGGCTGGGGAATCAGCAAATGTGAGATGAGTTGTGGGGTGCTTACCAGCAGAAAGAGTTAAAAAGCAGAGGAAGTGGGAGAATTTCACAGATGGGCAAGAAAGGGGAGGAAAAGGCCGTGCAAGAGCAGCTGACTCCTTCCAAACCCTAAACACAGGATTTCTCCTTTGGGTTACCCCCTGCTTCCATTACCCCCACCTCTGAGAATTGTACTGAACCTTAATACTGACAGTATGGAACCATTTAAAGCCTCAGGCTACATCTAGACTGCAAGCCTCTTTCGAAAAAGAACGTCTAGACAACAACCAGTACTTGCGAAAAAACACAGATTGCATTACATAGCACCTTTTTTTGAAAGAGTACTTTCGAAAAAAGGTTATTCCTCGTAAAATGAGGTTTTCCGTGGTCGAAAAAACTGCCATGTTCTTTCGATTTACTTTCAAAAGAACATGGCAGCAGTCTAGATGCAGGGGAAGTTTTTTTGAAAAAAGGTTACTTTTTTCGAAAAAAGCCCTGTCATCTAGACACACTCCTAGTGTCTTAGCCAGAGGTAGCTGCATTTCAGGGAAGTGAAGTGATTCCTGTTTCTGACATCTGTAAGGTGCTTTAGGATCCTTCAAGGTGAAAGATGCTAACTCCATGCAACACTCTGCTGTTTAATTTTCCTTCCTCCTCAGCCCAGGATTTGGTGTGCCATAAAAGTTCCGTCTTCTGTGCCAGGAAGGCTCACTTCTTATAGAACAAGGTCCTCTTATTCCTTGGTCCTTCTCTTTTCTCCTAAGGGCCAGCTGGGTGGCGGCACCTCAAGGTGAGGCTCTGGGTTTCAGTTCTTGTCTCTCACTGAGCAGTTCCCCTGGAGATGCTGTTTGCAGTTCCTTTGCTCCCTCCAGGAGGCGAGGCGGGTAAATTTGTCACCCAAAGAGCTTTATCCCAGGCCTCCATCTACTTATGGAGTCTGAGGGTATGTCTACACTACAGAGGTTTGTCGGGAAAACGGCTGGGTTTTTTGATGAAACCTGACTTATGTCCACACTGCAATCATGTTCTTCTGAAAGTAAATCGAAAGAACGGGGGGTTTTCCCGGCATTGGTAATCCTCTTTCTGAAAGAGCTCTTTTGGAAAAAGACGTATGTGGATGGGGAAGAGGGAGTTCTTTCGAAAGAAGAGGAAAGAGGAAAAAGCAAATGCGCCCTGGTGGCTAGTCTGTCCATAGTAATCACAGCTGAAATGTGAGAGTGTGTCCACTCTGAATGGACGCTATCTTTTGAAAAAGCAGATTGCTTTTTCCATGCACTTTTGTGTGTGGACACTCTCTTTTGGAATTTTCAGATCTCTTCCAAAAAATGGTTCTTCTGAAAGAAGCCTGCAGTCTCATAGCCTGAGAGAGAAGGAGAGCCAGGGCATTAACAATGCTGGCCCTTCTTGGTCTTTCTCTCTCAGCACTGGGACAACTAGAGCTAACAGGGTGTTGAAGGGACGGGAGCTCCTACGTTCCTTCAGGGCTTGGTGCTATGTGTGCAGTTGGGGCATGGTTGGGAATGGAGGAGGCTCATGCCACAGTGCAGGTCTCTCCTTGCCATATGTTAAATCAGACGGCGATGTGGTGCTAGGTTGTAGTGCTGGGGGGGAAACCTAAGAGGTGGGGTGGAGATGGGTTAGTTACTACCTCCTGACACACTCCACCAGCCCTGTTGGAATAAGGACCTTTTGAAACGCACCACCAAAGCCACTGGTAACTTTCTTCAGTCCTGGTACAGCCAAATAGACTGGTCTCCTCTGCCTACGTCTGGGAGGAGCTGGCAGTGCTGGGCTCCGGGATATGAATTGCCTTCTTCTGTGCGTGCTTGTCAGCCTCTGCCCAGACGCTCTGGCAGCGCGGGGACCCTTCTCAGCTGTTGTCCTTCGTCTTCAGATGAGTCATCTTGCCCGCAAGGTGGACGGCTCCACTTGCAGAATCTGAACTGCTACTGGCTCAACCCCGCCAAAGAGACCTGGCAGGCTGCAAGGAGGCTCTGCCAGGGGATCCCCGGTGCAGATCTGGCAATTGTACGAACTCAGGAGGTGCAGAGCTTCCTGCAGGAGACTTTCCCTGGGTGCGTATCGTGCTCCAGCTCCAGCGTCTGTGGTCTGATGACAGTGGTGTTGTCATGACTACAAAGCGGGTTGCTATTCAGGCACCCTGGCTATAAACCAGACACGCTCCTTGTCTCCCCCAGCTCCGTTGCCCAGAGGCAGTGCTGCTCTCTGTCTTGGACCTCAGGCCTAGCAGCAGTGTGTGCCGCAATAATGGTCTTTCCCCTGGTAGTGCAGGTGTGGTTGTGTGAGCACATGGCGGGATGTTGTTCGTGCCCTTAAAAAGCACTGGTGGATCCTGGCATAGGGTGGACCCACTCAAAGCAGGCAACAGAACACGTGTGCCACAGAGGAGACCAGCTTCACTTGAAATCCCTGGGAGGAAGCTGCAGGTGCCTCAGCACCCCAGGAATCAAACCTTATGCATGCGCTGCAGGGAACTGCTAGGCAGGTGGGCTGGCAATTGTGGGATAGGTGTAAGGACCCAGGAGCCCAGCAGCAGCTTTAGAGCCCTGCAAGTGGATGCGATGGTCCCAAAACAAGAGGGCTTGACTCAGGCCCTTACAGCACACACTAGCTTGTTCACACCCGTGCTGAGGAGCCTCCAGGAGATGGGGCCCTATGTTTGAGATCTCCCCGATGGAAATCCAAGTGTGGCCACTCAGCCTGACCTATAAGACCTTTTCCTCCATGCTGGTTTTGGGGGAGGGGTACTTTTCCTCTGCTGATTGAGATCAAAGGCTCTAACTCCTCTCCCCGCCCCTGTTCCAAGTCCTCCCTCCCTTTCCCAGCCACTCCTTATGTTCTGTGTTGACTTGCTGATGCGGTTTCTCTTTGAGCAGGGGGGTCATTCTGTCTTTCTCCCTGGCAGCGCTGGCGCAGTGTGGATTGGGCTCAGCTCCATGGGTTCCATGCGCTGGGTCGATGGCAGCCTGCTGGGCTCGTTCCAGAACTGGGCTCCCGTCGGTCGGCCCGAGGGCAAGGAGAGCTGCGTCCAGATGCATCTCCTCGACCCAGGAGGGCTTTGGAGCAGTCGCCCATGCTCTGCAAAGTCCTCGTTCCTTTGCGAGAGGAGAGCTGGAGGTACCGTGCCCCCTGCTGACCCCTGGGAGTGGGACTGTATTTGCTGATCCGACTGGTGGCTGCTGCTGCTACTGATCTCCAAGTCCTACCCATTGCCACCAGGGATAAAGAGGCATCTCCTTGTAGCCTATAGAGGAGCTGACTGCTAAGGGGGGCTGCTCGTATAATAATCATTGCTTGATGCCGCTTTTTCACCCTGGAGGACCCCAATGCTCTTACTGAGCCCTGGTAAGATGCTGTAGGATGCTGAGTGCCCTCCCAGTGAGGGGGCCCTGTCCTTAGCATGTATTTATCCTACGGTCATGCCTAAGGGCCCCATTATGCCCATGCTATGAAGATACTTAGCAAGGGACATCCCCTGCCCCGGAGAGCTTACAGGACAGACAAAGAGGGGGTGAGGGAGGAAATGCTGTTATCCCTCTTCTACAGAGGGGGAACTGAGGCAGAGAGGCTTGAATGATGTGCCCAAGGTGACCACTCAGGGAGTCTCTGGAGGAGCTGGGAAATGGACCCCAAACCCCTGACTGCCAGGTTACTACTCACTGTAGTGCTCAACCCAGATCCTAGCAGATTCCAGTTTACTCTGAGGAGGGGTGTGTGCCAGGACCAGGGGTGTTTCTGAATACAGACATGGGTATGTATGTGTTGGCTCAGCCCACCCTATTGCTCCGCCTTCCCCACCCCCATGCTCTTTGCTTTCAGTCCCTCATTTCACCAACCTTGTCTGGAGTGGCAGGTCTAGGCCCCAGTTAAGCTAGAGCGCACGCTTACAGGTTTGCTGGGTCCAGGCCCCGACTCTGCCCGGTGGATCTCCCAGTAGCATACCATGATGCCAGCCTGCAGCAGGGCCTGACTGAGCTGCCAGCCAGGAGGTGACCATCTATGTGCTTTGTGTTTGCAGCCACTTTGCCCAGCCCAGATGTGTTCCTGACGGGCGTGCCGGTGTTCAGCGGAGTCTACGATGTGAGGAACCTCAGCACAGAGCAGCTGCCACCTCTCCTGAACCCCGACGGCATTGAGGTAGAGCCAGCTGGCTGGCATGTGTGAATGCCAGCTGGGTCTATATGAAATCTCTTGTCCCTCTAGTCTATGTACCATGCTGAGTAGCCTTGGGGAAAGGGCAAACCCTTGGGAAGAGAACACAGATCAACCCAGAAGCACCCCCATGTCACAAGAGGCTGTTCCCCCCATGTTTATGACCCAGGGGACATGCGAATCATTAGAGAGAAGCTGGTTCCACATTCCCAAACCACATAACTGGGGCCATGCTTCGGGTAAAGCGCTGATCTTTAGGAAGCTGATCTGAACTACACAGGAACATGACAATAGCACATGTGCCTCGGTTACCACCTCTCCTGCCTCCTCCTCTGCCATTTCCTACCAGGGGGCCGCCCTGGACCTCCCTCGTTCATGCGTTTAGTTCCTGGTTTTGTGTCTTGTAGCTGATGCTCTTTCCAGGCCTCTGGTTCAGCCACGCGGGTGCTCTAGTCTCCATAGACTTCGGGGTGCAAGGGACAAAGAAGCCTGTTCAGGTCCGGTTCCAGATCCTCCGCCCACGTTGCAACCCCAACCAGCATTTGGTTCGCCCAGGTAAGAATTCAGCGTCCAGACCTCGGTCTCTAGTGCACTGATACTGACAGATCCATCTGCCTAGACCAAAGGGCTGTGTTGGTGGGTTGGTGGGCATTCCAAAAGGTCAAGGAGGGGTTATAGCTGCTTGATAGTCTCTATGCTGAGAGCTTCTGGATCTGTTGGACTCTTGGCGGGATGCTGAGAGAGACTGTCTGCTTATCCCCACCGCTCCCTCCAGAGCTCATCCTAGTACAGCCCCTCTGGGCTGTGTGGAAAAGACAGAACAACCCGGGAAAGCAAATCTCATGCAACTATGTGATGTGTAGAGTTGGTCTAGAATTCCCCAATGAACCGTTTCTTTTTTTCACTGAAAAATGAAGATTCATCAAAACAAAAACTGTTTGGGAAACCGCATAGGGTTAAAAAATCTTCCAATTCAAAATATTGTGTGGGGAGGGGGCAGGGCGTTGTGAAATTGACTAACCTTCCTTTTTCAGAACAGAAGAGTTGGGGTTTTGAGCTGATACAAAGTTACGTTTTGAAATGTGAAAGAAATTCAGACTAGAAAAGGGTTAAAAAGAAAAAAAAAGGTCAAACTCAAAATGAAGCATTCTGGAAGTTTTTCAAAATGTTTCAAATTGTTTTCATGACGTTTTGGTTCATGGGAGCTTTCGAAATTTCTCATTTGGAACCTTATCTTGAAAATGTTTGTGTGACAGGAAGATGATTTCCTGCCCCAGTACCCTGTACTCACTGAGGACCATATGTGTTGATTCATTGGTCTGTTCTCCTCTCTACTCCTTTTCCATTCTCTGTATCGCAACCTCTTTCTTTTCACACCCATCCCCCCCCCCCCCC